TGAGTCTTTAGCAAAGAATAGCAAAGTGGTGCAAACCAAACCAAAGCTCAGTGCTCGTCTCCCACTGGCTGTGGGGTCATGTTTATACTCCTTCACCAAGAGTCCTTTCACGTGTCTGCTATATCCAAAGATCCTTTCACCTGTGTCTGCTTCAGGAAAACAGTCTTTCCTGTGTTTGCTTTAGCAACACATCCTTTCACCTGTGTGCCCCAGCAAAACATCGACATAACTGACTTTCCACAGAGCTAGACGTTTCCACTTTACTCATACTCTGTATTCTGGCTCCATGGATTCAACTTACATATCCGTGGCATTGAAATGGGAGCGCAGGCAACCATATCTAGCATAGAAACATCTACTTCTGGAAGTATTCTGACCACATGAATGCAAGGATGAATTTTTCCTTACCCGCCAACCCTCACAAACTCCGTTTATTTTTATTTCCTTTTACTCCATAGCCCAGGGTGGTCTTGAACTCTAGATGCTCCCACGTCCTTCTCCTGAATGCTGGCATTATAGGTATATACCAGGGCCCCAAGTTCCTATTCTTGAATGCAACTCGAGTGCCAGGCACAGGGCACTCCCAGGAGCTCACTAGCATAGAGCAGACCTTCATACATGGAAATTCATCCTCTGCAATTCACAACTGAGATTTAATCTTGTGTCTATCCCCCCCTCAGGTTAAAACACATGTACATTCTGAAATACATTCTCTTGTAATTCTTCTATGACTTTATAGGACCCCAAGGATAAATCACGTATAGCGTGAATCACCTTTTGTATTGTATGAGAATTTTGTACACGTATATAACCTGTTCTGATCAGGTGTTCGTCCCTTTCCCTCCACTCCCATTCCTCCACAATTCTGCCATCTCCTTTCTCTCCCAGCTTCGTAAGTTCCTCTCTACTTGGCACTGCAATACGTGTTTGGGTGTAAGGGCATCCACTAGAGCAGTTTTTAAAAAAAATTTATCGGATATTTTATTTATTTACAATACAGATGCCATCCCCTTTCCCCATTTCCCCTCCCTAGAACCCCCATCCCACCCCCTCTTCCATTTTGCTTGTATACCATGTTGTTTGCATGTATACTAGAGCAGTTTAATTTATTGTTTCTTGGTTGAATTGAACACAAATGTATCTGCCCAAGATGCATAGACTTACATCCTCGTTCCAAATTTCATAACCAGTACAACCGATGACACATCATCACATTTTATTTCTCAGGTTTTAATCATGAATTTCTTTTTTGATCGTTTATGGGTGTGGATCAGTAGCAATTCACTTCTTCTTTTACTCACTAAGCTTGGACTATATAAAGCCCCTTTCTCTACAATTTCACTTTCTTTTTTCTTTTTTGTTTTTTGTTGTTGTTGTTTTGTTTTTTAATTTCCTACTCTTCCCTTTTCCCTCTTGCTCTAGCCCCACTCAGAGTAAACTTTCTGTGTCGATCTAAAACTGTGTGCAATGAAATA